AGCACCATAGAAATATTAGATCGATAAGGTGATTGCAACTGAACATTGTCGAATGATGACACTTTTTCAATTTATCAATTTTATAGAAATATGATAAAGCACCCCTATTCATAGGTATCAATCAAGGCATTTTCAGCGACAATATGCGAAATCTCCTCAGTTTTGATATTGATGCTCGTCTGGGTAGTAACTGTGTAGAACATTTTCTAAACGCGGGAGACACCTAAAGAATTAATAACATTCAGATGTTTTGTAGTGATGATTAATGTCGACAAGTCAGGACAAGTTTATAAAGAGCGTAACTGATATTCCCAGGGCATTCCAATTTCCAGCGCGTTTTTACATTTATTATTGAACATCTCGAATCTTTTTTCAAGCTGAGTAATTAGTCACCTGCTCTCAAATGGCAGGACATGCCGGAAAATGGAAATCGTGATGATAATTAAACATTCGAGCTGTCACTCACTTCCAGTCCAAGGAAACTGAAACTGGAGAAGCATTTGCTTTCATTTATTTGAAAATCTACAACAATGGCAAAACAAAACCGTAAGCAACGCACTGGGAAAACAGGTTTTTAGTAAATCTTAGTTCTTGTTGTTATTATAAATAAGTTTTCTTTTTTATTTTATTCACAGTTTTTCATCAGAGTTGTTAAAAATAAATGGAGCCCTGACTTTTCGAAGAAATACGAAGGGTTGAATTAAGATAATATTTTTGGGGTTCCTTGAATGTGCATCGACCTGGATATTAAAAATAAGGTTAGCAACATAAACCACGAAATGGAGAGAAGTGCAACATTTTAAGAAAGCGTTTATTTTACAAACGTACCAGCCCATTGTGGGATCGAGGTAGCTTGATCTATTTAACCACCAAAATCAGATTCAAATTTTTTTCTGTGAGATAGACTGCAGTGTCTCCGTTATTAAAGACTTCGTCATACTTTTCAGTATCTAATGAAATTACTGCAATTATTGTAATTTTTTTGTTGTTAACGACTGGAATCTTGGACGATTCCTGCTCTATTGAATTACAAATATTTGCTGACGGTTAAGCGTTTGCAGTACAATAGATGGCTCGTTCCTAGTAAACACGCAACTTAAGCGGAGAAATCTCATCCAAGTTTCAACATTTAACGTAAATATGTCCTAGATTTGACCGTGAATTGAAAATGTGTCAAACATGAACAAAAAAGCTGGTCAGGTAAAACATATTATCATCTAATCGACGATGTTGACAATTCATTATCAAAAGGAAGGACTGAAATATGGAACTTGTATACTGCTACCGGCAGGCTTTGCTGTTGGATTCATGAAATGGAAGATTCGTTCAGTCCATGGTGAATTTAAGGAGGATCTGAGTAGACCTTTTTTCTCTTTTTTTTTTTTTAAGGTTTGCAATTGTAAAAACCTCAGTGGTGTGCGGTAAATAGGGCGCTGTAATTAAGTAAGTTATTAGATATCCCGTGGATAATATGGCGTTTGGACGCTTTCAGAAGCGAGTGATTTCCTGGGTTGTTCCAGTAGATTTGAAAAATTACTCTGCAGTCGATGCGGAAGGAAATGAGGCTATTTCGCTTTGTTTTAGAAATGTTTATCTTTAACGAGAAAGACAACCATTTAGACCGTTAACAGAAGTCTGCAATGCTGTTTAGAAAGAAAATTCGCGTCCGAGTAAGCGCATGTATCTTTTATCTTTGACACTTGTTTATGATTTGTGGAGAGCGACATGAGAAGCTCTTTATGATTCATTATAGATTCCTAGCTTTATTGCCCTTAGACGCCGCAATTTACAGTTGATGGAAATTCGCGACCTACAGAAGACTTTAGAATGACGAATGAAAAAAGTAACATGAAATCATTTTACAATGTTTGATGTTTGTTGATTGAATCAAATGCCGAAAAAAAAATCGATTAAGTCCGTTCATCCTGCCAACGGGGTTGTGAAGTTCTAGAACTGAAGAAAAAGAATCCAGGTATCTTTGTTCTTTCTTTTAAACTAGACATTGAAATATCAATATGACGTCAAATTGCAGTATCAGAAGAATTATGGCAAAAAAGATAAATCAAACAGGATAAAATACTCTTTTGAAAAGAGGTAACCAAATTATAGACACAAAAAAACAGTTCTGTCATGGAAAAAGTATTTAAATACGGAGAGACCCTTGAAGATTATTGTCAGTGTCGAGTAAGTATTTGAAATGGCACAGTTCGAAAAGCGTTTAACTTTCGCAAGTGGTTTTATTCAAGCAATATTAGTTCCAAAAAAGCTCGTTTTTTTTTCATGGTCAGTCAGTTCTTTTGTTTATATAATTTAACAACGTATTTCAAAACAACGAATCTTTTGCACATTCCCCACAGCTCTATTACCGAATTCGTACTGGGAGAACATCTTATTATAGCTGTTAGAAAGAAAAAATGATTCATCCCTTAAAAGGCGAATAATAAGTTCGAAACTGAATGATGTTATCATTTCTTAATTGACATCAGTCAAACTTAATCCTGATGGAAGGCTCATCGCTTACCCGCTGGGTTGAAGGCGTTTGAAAAGCTTCACCTTCCAGTAAACATTCTTAGAGGCAGTAAAAAGTAAATTTCTATTGGTCTATGAACAGAGCACTGAATGTTTTGCAAGCATAAGTCCTTTAAAAGACTTTTTTGAAAAACATTATACAGCAGTACTACAGTGGACAAGTTACTTTACACTGGAATACTGTAAGTAGAGTTTCGCGGAGACTCGTCAAATTGAATCTAGTAACAAATGCTTGTAAGTGTCTGTATACCGATTGCCAACGCAAAGTTTCATACCGTTGGAAGGTCGCCACATGTTTATGGAATTAGCTCCCATGATGTTTTAGAATTAATGAAACCCCAAAACTGTAAACCTAGAGTTGTATCGGGCCGACTCTGATCCCTACAGTTCAGCTGGTATTTCAAGGTTCTTAAGCTGATGATTTCGGCTTTAAATACGTTTTAAGTCTTGAAATTATTTGCAGGGTTAAATGTTAAGCTTCTCGAAAGTATGTTACAAACATCTTTCGTGGAATATTCAAATAGATAAGAATCCCTAAAGGACGTGAGGCTCAGTACAGAACTTCATCTTGCTGTTTGGGAAAAGATATCCGATCAGTTTTTAATGAAGCTTGAAGCCATTCACCAAATTTAGGCACATAGAGAAATATATTTTTTTCGGCTCAGTGATTACTAGACGCTTGTGTGGACACAAGCCAAGATTGCTTCCTTTCAAGAGCGTAACACAGCAATACAAAATAAACATTTGTTACTTATTATTGAGTCTGTTGAGGTCACCCATACATAAATTCACTTACTATGAGGGGCTATACATTACAAAACTTGAATAAAAACCTTTTTTGACGCTGAAAAAAACCATTTTCAACGTTAAGATTTCCTGATTGGCGGCTAGGACGGGAGTGTTTTTTATGATCCAAGAGCGAAAGCTTCTCGACAGGAAATTCTTATTAAATAGAAGCTCATATTTTTGCCAATGGCAAAAGCATCTGCTTTGTTGGTCATTGATCAGATGCCGTCTCAGATCATACTCCATCGCACGTCAGCAAGAGAAAGTTAAACTTGTACCCCGCAAGAAGTGTGGAAACGATTATGAAACGTGCCAAATCTGCATTTCATTTTTTGCGGAAGGTAATTGAATCCGTTTTAGCGCGTGAAAGTCTCCCAGATAAAGCGACCTCATTAAAAAAACAAAAAACAAAAAACAAGGAAAAGACGATACGTTCTAAAAATAATGACTGAGATAACAAGCGGTGATATGCCCAGAATAACGACAACAAAGCTAAAATATTTGAAGAAAAACAAACTCTCTCTCTCTAAAAGTAGGTCAATTTCAGTGTACACAATATATCAGTAACGGTTTGAATCAAACACCATATAGGCACCACCGACGAGGCTTGTTCTCGAGGCGGCGGTAATTTAAGCAAATTCTAAGTAATAAGCAACATTACTCCATATTAAATTTCAAGTTATCACATTTTGCTTCCCATATCAGAATTTTTATTGAAAAAGAAAAGAAAAGAACATCAGTATTGTTGTGTAAAAGAATAATAACAGACAATTTCCCTCAGGCAAAGATCGTTTTGAGGTTTTTCAAGAAATTTTCTTGTCACTACTCGATCTATTTTTCTCGTCCAAGTAACCATTATTCAATCTTTACTTAATTTTTACCAAGCCCTCCGCTTATTAGGCAGGATGTGTAATTTGTCCTATAATGCTGACCTAATAATGCAACATGTTCATCGTTCGTTCTTCATCAAATAGAACTCGAAAATCGAAAACCAATTAGTGGCACATCATTAAGAATTCCACGAGTCTAAAATAATTGAAGTTTATATGCTGTTTACTTCAACAAAGAAAAGTTTCAGGCAAAAACAAAGGAGGCATTTAAAGAAAAAAGGCCATTTAATAATGATCTGATATGTTTAGTTATGGGTCCATTATTCTTAGCAGTGTCTCGGAGAGTCACGTCAAAATCAAATTGTCAAATGAAGTGTTTTTAAACTGAGTCAAACCCGATTAAAAGACTCTTGATTTCCAGAGTTTTGTTTGCATAGCTGCAAGTAAAAATCATGCCGTCGAGTTTGAACTTTTACGCAGTCTCATAACCAGTTTCTTTGACAGTGAAATCATTGTTTACCGGTCGGTACTTCACTCTGCGAAAACGGTTACAAGCTGACCGCTTTTACTATATCAGTTATAAAAACTATCCATTTGTTTTTACAGGTAATAGCCGGACTCAGACGATTAAATATATCTATCTAAACGCACCCTCGAATGTTGATTAGTAGTAGACAACATGCTCTTGAAGGGTAATAAATAATGCGCCTATTCAATCTTGAGATCTATGATCAATCTTGTGTTTCAAGTTGGGGGCGGCTTTAATTAAGTTGCTCTTTAATAGCTCATTATTTGCGCAAATCTGTTTGTTAATAGATTCCATTCACAAGGACGCGATAACATTATTTCTTTCAGATTTAGCCAGATGACCTAGTGTTGTGATTTCCGATAGCGGTGCAAGTGCTGACGGCTGGGCATTACTGATTTACATGCTTCAAATAACTCGACACATAAAACCTAAAGAGGAACCAGGAGCATCAACAAATTATCCACCTCACAATAGCTTACAGAACGACGGCTCCTTCTGAAAGACTTTGTTCCTGAAATACAGGCTTCGACTTACGCTGTATCCTGGAAAAAGAAACAGCTAAAACTGCTAAACAAAAGTTATCAGTGGTGAACTGTTGTGTAGTTTAAACGGTTTTCAAGTAGGTTTGACTGATTTTTGACTGTCGACACCTTGCTCTGTTAAAATCATGTCCAACAGCACTATTCAACCTACAGCCAGTGAAGTGGAACTAGAGGATAAAGTGAAACCGGCCTTCTACGCGGTAGCTTTTGTACTGGGACTTTTGGGCAACTTTTTAGTGATTATCATCGTAGTAGCCAGACGAAATCGTCGAACAGCAAATGACATATTTATCCTGAACCTGGCCATAAGTGACCTAGTATACCTGTTTGTCTGCCTTCCAACAAACGTCTATATGATGTTTGCAGACATTCAGTATGACCTGTACTGCCGTTTAATTTGGCCTTTAATGACTGTCACTGTCAATCTCAGCATCTTCACTCTCACATCCATGGCTGTTTTTCGGTGTTATGTCATTCTGTACCCTTTTAAGGCCGAGATGCGTCATCGCTACGTTCTTCTTTGGATCGTGGGAATTTGGTTTCTTGGACTCCTTCTTGTGCTCCCGTTACTACTCGTGACAAAACCGAAGCTGGCGGAGCCACAAGGGTGTACAGAGGTTTGGCCTTCCCCTCAGTACAGGCAGGCCTACACAGCCAGCCTTTTCGTACTTCAGTTCATGCTGCCACTGACCATTATTGCTGTTGCATATGTTCGTATCGGCCTCGATCTGGTGCGTCAAGGTAGACACCAGGTTCCACATCACGCGGCACATCAAGAAAGAAGAAGAGAGAATATGCAAGTGATTAAAACATTAGCAACAATCGTGATCTTATTTGCTATTTGTATGCTGCCTGCTCAGCTTGCCTGGCTTCTTCACGACTTTGCTTATGAAGATAACAAAAGCTTGGTAGGTTTCCTGTTCAGCTTCTCTCCCTCACTACTCTATTTCCACAGCTGTTTGAATCCAATTGCTTATGGCACGCTCACTAAGCACTACCGGCGTGGTTTCATCCGATTTTTCTCTTACGTTTTCTGCTGCGGCTTCATAAGCTTGCTCAGAAGGAACTCAGCTACAAGTCACTTGGGCTTAAACAAGATGTGTGCAACTTGGGGAAAGAGAAAGACGGACAGTAGCAGCAGTAGTGAGTTTTGCCAACGAAACAATAACACGGAGGTAGCCTTACTACAGGAGGAACTATTAAAAGATAATGGACCAGAAAATGTTTCGCAAGGAAAACTGGAAAAAGAAACAGTTGTTTAAGTCAAACATGCACATTTACCTTACGAAGTATAACACAGATTAAAATATCGCAGTAAAATTCCAAAATAATCCTAAACATATGATTACAAAGACATTTACTGAGTATATTTTTGTTAAAAAAAGAAAGGGAGCAGTGCTCATGAATGGAAGGAATCTTACTTGTAAAATAGAAAGAGTTTCATCTTTTTAAATCAGAGATTTCGGTGGTCTAGTCTACGCCAACATTGTTCAGGAAGTTCTTGCCTTTAGCTATGTAGAATATCTGTACCTGTACTTATTGATCATTTCCTTTATTCTCGTGACCTCAATGTGTGTTTGGGGGGTAATATTGTAAGGAGAAATTAGATGCTAGTCACTTTTAATGGTCAAAGGGATGAATAGAGCGATTTGGGTAAAGGGTTGCAAAAAAATGTTACCTCAATACACAGATTAATGCAAGTGCTTTTAAGAATCTACCGAAACCCTCTAAAGTAGAGCGATGAACTAGGTACGCAATTCAAGAATAGTAGGGCCCTTAAACTGAATAAAACTGATAACCCGCTGAGAGCTACTTTTCATACAGTTGGACCTGTATTAAGCGGTGGTACAAGAGGGGTGACCGCTTAAAACAGGTTGACCGCTTAATACGGGCCTCACAAATAAGGGTACAATAGAAAGCGTGAAAAAAACGTTGAATGTCATAATTAACCACATAATGTACAAAAACTCGCTCAAAATTACTACTAACATTAATTTCGGGAGATAAACATGGATTAAATTTTACTCATAAATTATCCTTCGTTTCATTTGAAATAGTTCCGCTTTAAGTGATTGTATAATAAAAGTGAAAAACAATACAAACAGATCGTTGGGACTCAGTCGAAGGTTACCAAGACCGCTTAATAAAGGTGACAATTACAGTAATTAACGGGAAAAACGCTCGGGACTCTGAAAACCGACCGCTTAATACAGGGTGACCGCTAAGCATGGTGCTGCTTGCTATAGTCTCGACTATATCATGTTGTTGCTGCAATTGCTTACAACAAAAGGGTTCTTTTTTTTAAATCATTTTCATTGATACGCCTGAAAGTAGCACAGCCGCTCGCTAGTGTACATGAATATATCAGTTGAAAGGCGTCAGCTTACAACAAGTAATCAACGCCATGCGGGGTGTTCATTTGTGAAGTTGATGGTTCAAGGTTTTAACGAGTCATTTTCAACTTAAGAACTGAAATCACTGCGATGAGCTATGCTTGGGTGCACCCTAGAACTTTGCATCAGAAGTAACTCTGACTAAATACGTCAGATGATCCTTGTCGTACATTCAAATATCTCCGCCTAATCTCGATCCTCCCTTTTGAGTGTCGTAGATCACCCAACATGCACTTTATCTGAACGCAAGAGGCACGCGCAAAAGAGAGCAGACCTTCACACCTGACTTCTAGTTTGCATGAGCTGGTCTTAATCACCGTTCTAGCACAGAACCAGCCAAATCAAGCGATTGCAAGGGCGGTAAAGGACAATTCAGATTCAAGCACTCTGTTCTTGACTTAAAATAACATTCACTACAGCCAATCACGACAAAGGATAACATCATCATTAGCCAATGAGAACAAAACAGGCAAGCTACTAATAGCGCGGGAAAACGCGCTTGACCAAGCCACGAGTGGTATTCGTTTTGAATCTCTTTGGTTGGGAGGGTCCAGTTTTCTGGACCAATCTCAGAGCGAGTTAGAGATAATACAAGGTCATCCCGGTTTAATTCGATGCTCCATTCAAAATTAATCCAATAACAACAACATGTCGTCAGACCCCACTATTTTATTGTAGTGTTAGCTTTTATTTCTCCTCTTTGCCTCCATTATCACAAAGCTTTAACTGGAGAATAGCGTGCTTTTTAATAACACTGTTTTCTCTATTTCGGGATGATGGAAAACGAGTAGGTTAGCCAATAGGCACTTGAGATTTGCATTAGAATACAACTGAATCAGCGGTAAGTGTTGAGTCAACATGGTGGATATGCAGTGAACTAGTACGTCAAGGTAGCACTTGTATGGAAAAGAACTTGAATCAGCGGCCACCGAGTTTGATGGCATCAGCTTGGCGTGTGGCCAAGGCCGGTCCAAGACTTAGTTCGTTGCCCACTGGACTGGTAAATTTGCACTACAGACCTTTTTCAATATTCAAACCATCAGTGTGGCCAGCGTTACTACACGCGAAAGCGATTTATTCTTTGTTATTATCACTGAAGCCCGTAACTTTTGAGCAGGGCGTCAGAGGAAACTGGTCGCCCGCGAAAGTCCTGAAAAACGTCACTAGGGTGGCGGGCACCACCGCTGGCCAGGATAGTATCGCGGAACCTGTGAAATGTTAGAGTCTGAATAAGGCTTTATTTTCACGAGATATGATCAGGTGTAAAAGATCAGCACAAATAAAAGTTATGGCTGTTGACTTTGATAAGTTATTAGTTGATAACTCCTAGTCAGTGTATCCTCTACTCAAAATGTTGTTTTTTCCAAAAAAAAAAAAATTCCACAAGTTATTTACAAACTGCAAGTTTTACTGTTTTTTTTTGGATATCATTTGAATAAATAAATAGACTTCAATAAAATCTTCCAGCTTACAGTTGCCTCTCATCATCGCTAGAAGGTCTTGAAAAAGGGTTGCAGCTTTGGTGAACGAACCTTAATAACACGATTTGGTTCATGTGTAACATGTGATAAGCCTTGGTTAATTTTCTGAAGGCACTAAACTTAGCGGCGCGAACATTGGCGGACCTGATACGCTCACCTACCCAAAGATGTTTGATAGCAGGCCAGTGTGTTTACGTCAAAATTAAAGTACCTTTTTCCAACTGTACTCAGCTCTTTTCTGTTGCTTAAACCGACTTCCTCAAACGCACTGAAGGCATCTGCAGACATCATCTAGGAATTTACATAAAATCATACATTTAACAATCACTGTATTTCAACTTCTCATCTGCAGTTAACAGATTGAATGGGTCAAACGGTCACCTACCTCTGCCCATTTGTAAGAGTAATATCCAGCAGCATATCCACTTGCGAAGATGTGAAGAAACGAGCAGGGAAATCTATCTTCGTCAAGTGGTTTAAGCACAGTATATTTGCTTGAGATCCGTTCAAGGACGGTACGCCACGGCTCGGAACTGTTGGAAAAAATAATGTTAACCCTCTGAGCTTCAGCTGAGAAACTGTTAAATGCTCTTAAATCAGTTCAATGAGTAACAGGTCTCTCCCGACTTGAAGTTTTTTACTTTCTTTTTTGCTAGTTCTACCTCTGTAACTGTACAGTGCCTACGTACTATGGCTAACCTGAGAGATCAAAGGAGCGAAAGAGGCAAATTGGTATAATATCCAGAGTTAGAAGTATCCTATAAAGAAGCTAGTTCACCGTAAGAAACATGGAAAGAGATAGCCCTGACTGACATTTCTCGCTGCTCTTCTATTTTAACCGCCCGCGAGCTTGTTGACTTGTGGGTAGTAACTCACAACGGCCAAGCAATAGGCAATGCTTTCGATCTAACCATAGGATTAACTTCAACTGCCGCACGAAGTTTAACCTGGGGTTAACATAGGCTTGAATTTTAACCACTGAATGAGTACGGTTAGTTTTTCGTAAAGGAAGGTTAACTTGTTATTTAACGTTTAACAGAGGACACTTGAAGGAAAATTCAGAGACAACCCTTCATAAAGTCAATCCTCTTTTGAATACCACCGGGCTCAAGGTAGTGAAAGACAGATCGTGAAGTGTCTTACGACGGGCCTCATCACAGTGAAGAGTATAAAAAGGATATGCCCGAATTGTTAAGGAACCCTGCCGGATAGAATACTACAGGGGGAACCTTGTAATGAACTGTCGTCCCATTCAGAGTTACTCAAAGTTTTTCTATCTTACAGAACTGTGATAAGCTCCCTCGTGTAATCACGCTCCTTTACTATCTCTATATATTTTGCTGTAGGAAGGCGTTTTTCGTTTTTTGTCAAATTGAAAATTAAAGGAAGAACAAAAAAAACGGAAAAACGCCTCTATAAAGGTTGCAGTGGTTTGGGGCCTTTGGCAAACTATTACAGTGCTTTAACCTTTGGAACTCTTTACGGTAGCTAATTTACATTATGAACTCAGTTGATAAAACTAACTTGATTGTCTCGTATTACTTGAATATGACGTTTTTCGTTTTTTGTCAAATTGAAAATTAAAGGAAGAAAAAAAAAACGGAAAAACGCCTCTATAAAGGTTGCAGTGGTTTGGGGCCTTTGGCAAACTATTACAGTGCTTTAACCTTTGGAACTCTTTACGGTAGCTAATTTACATTATGAACTCAGTTGATAAAACTAACTTGATTGTCTCGTATTACTTGAATATGATGCCTCCTTAAATTTGCAAAGATGCCTTGCTTGGGAACACATCATCGCAACTTAAACCAATATTTAAGAACAGAGCTGTTTAGTGGACAGAACCTCAGATTTCTTTAAGTACCTTGAGTGTAGCTCCATGTCGAGTGCTCCGAAATAAAGCTGACGTAACATCTGTGACCCTGCCATGAATCTACGAGCTACAAAGAACGAAAAGAAACAGACAACACAAGATAACTAACCTTAAAAAAACAACAGCAACTCAGCTCAGTTTTCAACATTGCAGATCCTGGCACTCGTTAGTTACATCTGCTCACCAACAAGTTCCAATCTGAGACTTAGTTGGTTCAACCGCGTCCTCGCGGAATCAGAAATTTGAATCCTCATGGCGACTGATATTACCTTTTATCCGTCGAACACTCGTGACAATCGATGACACCTTTCTTTATGCCTTACATACGTTTTCGTAATTTAGCAAGACCCCAGATAAACAAACCACGAACCTTTGCAAACCTGTTGGAAAAGTTCATCTGGTAAGGTATCGTTGGTGTGGTAATGGCCACTGACCAAATTCATGGAAGTTTTATCATATAGCCAATTCTCCATGAACTGCGATGGAAGCTCTACCTAAGTGAATAGAATTAAGATTGTAAGACCATTTGAATAAGCACAACATCGGAACAAAACGATTTCTCGTGAAAGACCTGACTCAAGAATTTTACCTTCCATCTGTAATATTTTACGTGGGGGAAAAACAATCTGGTTTTTTAGAGTCAAGTGATGGGGACATTAAAACGCTGGTCGCAAATGCTATTCCAGAAAACACAAAAAAGATCATCAGCTTTTGCGCGGTATGGAAATTTATGCGAGGGTTATAAAATTAATAAACCCCTTTCTGGCTTGCTGGTATATCGGCTGATAATGTCCTTGGCTGAGAGATTGTCCTTAAAATACTACATTTGCCCTCGAAGCTTCGCTTCTCAGCCAAATATTAATTTTTTGGACAATATCTCAGCCGCAGACATTATCAGCCGACATACCAACAGCCTAAAGGGGTTATTTACCGTATAGTCTCTGCAAGCACACTTCGCTTTAAAAGGGTAAAATGCATGCGCACTTTTGTAAATTCACACTGATGTAAACCTCTGCGCCGAGTCAAACGAAACACGATGAGTGCTTAAGTATGTGTTCAGCCACCCAGGATTAGCGCTAATCTTGTTTCGAACAACCCAGCTCTGAGGTATAGCAGTAAATAATGTATCTTAACGAGGTGTCGCCAAGGTGTCCAGACATGCAAAATGAAGCTGACGCCGATGGAATATTGTACCTTACGCTCGAATCAACCTCGTTCCCAGGGTCCCCTGTCTTCCTACCTCGAGAGAGAAGAGGAGAGAAGACCCTGGGAACGATGTCGCGCTCGCAATATTATGAGGATGCCAGCTAGGAGACAAATTCAATGAACTACAGCTTCACTAACAACAGGCTAAAAACGAAGTACTAAGCTGTGACGGTAGTGACCAACATTAAGGTGATAATTGACAACGTCATAAACTAAATGGAAACTAAATATCAACTCACTGCATCCCACTCGACATTTCTAATTCCGGCAGCATCCGAGTAAGGCACTGTAGTTAACATGTGTTGGAGACCATGTCCGAACTATTAAGACAACATCAAAATGACATGAAGTGTTTACAAAACACTTTTGAGGTGGTCATGGGATTAACCCAAAACGAGACTAGAAGGGATCGAAAAGAAAGGGTAATTTCCAATAAATTCCTGTACGGAAATCAACTTTCACCAGTGCGATTATGTTCTTTATTATAAAGCGGATAACATTATTTCAATGAGTCTAGTTGGAATATAACTTACCGCAAGGTCATATTACCGTAGAAACTGAACAACTGTTTTCTTGTCGAATTCACGATAGAAAATGTATTTCGTAATCAAAATTATTGCAGCTTAATGTAAATATTTTGCAAAGTTAAGTAGATTATTTTCTCGCAGTAAGAGAAGATAACAATTTCTTTGGTTGTAAAGTAAAGGTTGTAAAGAGAAAATCAACCAGCTTTCATATTTCTTCTGAATGACTTACAATAATTTATGACTTCCTAAATAAGCTAGAATTAAATATAGAGAATTCTTGCTTGATTCCGATAACGTCTTTTAACAACTGTCTGGGTGTAGTTCAAAGACGACTGTAGTCGGTGACAAGTGACTGATATTCCAAAGTAATTATCAAGTTCAAGTTAAGAGTTTTGTCAGTCGGACGAAACACTTTTTATTTTCAACGAGCCAGACTTGTACATTACACAACTTACTCTAGAAATTTCACTGGATTAATGAAGTTGATGGTTTGAAATGATCTATAAAGTTTTGTTTACAGTTACAAATGTGCAAAACTTTCTAAAGTTACGTTTACCTCATGGAAAAGTGTCTCTACATCTCGGAAAGTCATCAGAGAAGGTGAACCGTCGGCACCGGGAGGGGACTGATTACAAACTAAGTATGCAACAGGTTTTCTGTTGAGGACTTCACTTTTGTCTGAATTCATAAACAATATATAAAGCGGAGTCAACTTAATTTATTACACCCATTTTGAAATCATTGGTGGTCCCTGTAATCTGATTGGCTCTAATTGATGCAATTTATTCACGAATCACACCATTTTTTGCTTTAAATCGCGTCTTTTTCCCAGCCAATGAGGAGGCTACACTAAAAACAAAACAACCAATCAGATTTTATGGCTTGTTTAAAGTAACCGATCAAATTGCAGGAAAATGAAAGACAAGGAGTATCATGTGGCAAATTTTGCACCTTTTTTTCTTAACTCTTACTTTTTCCCCCAAAAAAATGGACATGAATTTAATTTCAGATCGGCTCAGTACTGTATCAATAAAATATTTGAACTGACCATGTCCTACATTTGGGCGATTTCAAAATGGCTGTAATAAAGTGGTAATTGAACCTCGTGTCGTGCAATTTTGGTCTGAAATCATACTTGTGAAATCATACCGAGACATTGATCCATCCAGGCCCCTCCACTCTTTTCCGCCGGTCGAGAGTATGGATCCAAGTAAAATGACGCCATGTGATGCCCTGAACATGATTGAAAGAGAAAGCTTCTCACCTTTATGAATAGGTTTTAAAATCAGTTTGTCATAACTAGGAATCTTGTAAGTGAAAGTGGTTATGATGAGTTCTGAAAAGCGTGTATCAAAATAAAACGACGAAACCGTTACTTCTGGAAAACTGTATATGAATGAAGGGGGCAACTTTCTAAAGAAACCGTGGTACTGCTTCAGTGGTAGGGTGTAACAGGATCATTTGATTTTATACTGAGTTATTGGCCACCCAAAAGAGTTTCTAAGGTTGTCTTTTCGAGAGTTAGCCCTTTGTCAAAGGTAATAGAATGAGAATCGAACGCTCTAACGAAGGGTTAATGCCAAATTATGTATATATATATATATATGGCTGCGTATCGCGAGGGCGGCAAATTCCTGACAAAACGTCAGCAAAGCCGTAGTAAAAGAAAATTCGTCCTTTCTTCTCATAGAAAGCATTAAAGTGTCACAAATACAAAACTTAAGCAAGCACGAGGGTTGATCATTTCTTGCAAGAATAGTAAAAAAAAAAGATGCCAAAGAGAAATTTAAAAATGCAGCGCATAGGACGCACAGCACTAAGTCGCGAATGGTATTAGCTTTCATCTGATTGTTTCTGAAGGGAGGAGTTTTCTAGACTAGTGATTAAGGAAAGCAGAGCAAAACTAATACAATCCCGCGATTTTTCTTCATTTCCTGAAGCTCAGTGCTCTTTTATTTTTACTGTTTACGTTTCTTCAAAGTTTCTTACTGAAATATTTCGCGTCCGCTGTTAAGTGAACTAAGTATATCAGTCGTCCTAATTCGTTTGAAAAATACCTCTTTCATCCATAATGTGAAAGAACCTTACATCTGGGTGCCAAACTTCTGCTTCACCATCTGCCGACTAAAATAACGCAGAATTACTACATCTGTACATCTATCACCCACCCCTGATAGCTGAACCTTTTTGTTAGCAGTAAATTAGTTTAATTGGTTCTAGATATTCCACCAGAGGCCTCTAAAATGAACCAACATAGCTGCTTACACAAAAATCGATCTCTTATATTCCGCGATGTTATGCAGCTATGCAGCTATGCAGCTGTGCAACAAACACTTTGATTTGGGTGTTGATAAAAGATTTTCCCGTATTTGTTGGACATACACACTGTAAGTACCATAAACAAACAAGCATGCATTACCACAATTAAAATGATCAAAAAAGATATCGCAAAGTATTTCCTTTGTTAAAATTAGATAAGTTTTCAATAAGAGATTCAAGTAAATAAATACTATTCCATAGGAAAAATAAACGAGATGGCAACAAGAATTGCAAAAGAGAGAACTTGAATCAAAAGAGGACTTAATGATAACTCTAAATGGTGTTCTCTGTAAATTTCCCACAGACAAAATACGCGTTACAAACGCTTAAAGGGTAAGAACTAGGAAGTCATGTGTAGGATTTGAATTCTGGTAAGCAAATAAAGAAAAAAAAGTATATAACAAACCTTAATGACTATCCCAAACAACTCAGAGGAAAGTTTAAAGAGTCCTTCAAGTACCCTACAAATACGGTTGTATGGGTAAATGATAACAAAACCTCAGACTATTATAAAGATTTAGTGCAATGCAAAACAACTCCCCTGACTCTGAAGTGCATGCCTGCGCGCGTGTGGAGAGTTGACGTACCACATACTAATAAGTGTTTTCTAATAATGTCGTTGGTTCGGATACTTGATAATAACTCTTTAAGTATTTATACTTTAAGCATAACAGAACAACAGATCATTCCATAGCCAATGGAACGGCTGGCCATTAAATTATACTAGATCAATTTATTAAGATCTAGAAATATGGGCTAAAACAGACAATGAAACTCTGCTTTATTTACCTTCATATCAATGACTTTCCTAATAATATCTTTCTAACCTTGGTAATGGAAAGTAAGGCCTCAGCTCCTCGTCGGTGAAACTTAAGTGGAATGTGAACAAAGTTAATGTTAGTGAAATCACATTTCCAGAGTTATAACTGATTTTACATTATACCACCCTGATGAGTAAGGGTAGTCCTTTTTGCCTTGGCTGATTAGCTTGTTTGGAAGTGATTAATAAGTACTGTTCACCTCTGAGCAGCCTAAGAGAGAAACCGGCGCGCTCAGAGTTTAATTTCGACCATTTTTTCGGTACATTGATGGTGATAAACAATTTGTTGGTCTTTGCGTGGTATATGCTAAAACAAGTACTCAACTCACGAACTATCAATACAATATCAAGCAGACAAGTGGAGGTTATAAGTTGATCCAACACCATTGAACTAACATCACGAGAATAGTATGGCTCACTGTAAAAATAATTACCAATGAGATCTTGGAATGACTGTCTCACCTAAACAAATGTTCCTTTTGTTTTTGGGACCAATAAGCTATGTCCCAGTGCTTCAAATCATCAACAAAACCATTTTCCTGAGCAAAGGTCTTAAAAAAAAAACAGTGATGAAAAAGTCAGTATTTAGTTAATTTTATTCAAATGATGTGTGAGAAGTGGTGGCCTTGAGGTAAGCGGGTGGTGGACCTCAAAAGGAAAAGGAAACCTGACCATATTATTATTGTTCTTTCCATGGGCTAGACACTTCACACTCACAATACCAGAAAACTAGAAGGGAAACCATAAAATGCTGTGAAAGGACACAACGCCTTGCTCATATCACTATTATAATTAATGGTATGTGCCTAGCAACATATTACAATAAGAGCTCATCTGGTTTCTGCAGCATGAAATGCTCTAAGTATTGGTTCTACTGCTAAATGGGATACTTTTCAAATGTAAGACTCCATAGTAGACTGCCAAGTTTTCTTGCGAGTCTCCTGACTAGAGAGATAGAGAGGCACCATGGCAACATTTCAACCTGGAGATTGGTCACCATCAGGCCACCATGTTCCAAACATTTGTTTGAAGATTACCAATTATTCATTCACATAAGTTTTCAACCCAACTCATGATACACAAGATACTGGCCATTTAAACTTCCAGAGGGAGGAAACAAGAATGTGCCCAAACCATGCAAAATTTGAAAGAAAGAAGTGCTTACTTTTATCATGAATCAAATGATTTCTAATGGAATTTGGAATAAATAAGAACAAGTTAATTTCTGTAGGCTAAGGAATTTCTCAGAGCCCAAATGCCTGATGTAATTGGTAGTTTGAAAAATTATACAAATGATTATTTATTCCAATTCCAAGAAAGATCCTTTGATCATTTGCTATCAATTGACAATTAATTTCACTGGCACTGTTTAGACTCAGCCAATGAACAAGGTATAATTTTTGTATCTATAATATATGCAAAGAAACCTTTGGGAGTTTTTGCCAGAGAAACACACATTAAATTGACAACATGAACTTGATGAAGGTAATGTCTGTAGAATAAAAAAAAGAACAGACATTTCAACCCTTAGCAGCTCTGTCTGAGAAACGTCTCCTCAGTGAAGGATGATATGTCTTTTGAAATATGCTTTTGATAGTGGTTTATGTTCATAACAGCCTTTGCCTATAATTAAGGTAAAAATTCTGAAAGAAGAAAGGTGGACCCCTTACTTTCTTTAGACATTCAGTTTTGTAACAGTCAACAAATAAAAACTTTAAGAAAATCTTTTTGGAATGCACCCCAATGGTAATATTAAAAATCTTACAGAAAGCAACAAAAAGAGAAAATCTGAAGCTTGATTGTTGAAAAGAAAGATGCTAGAGATAATTGGAATGAACAGTGGACAGAGAAAATATCTGACAAAGAATGTGTTTGATGATGCAGATCCTTACAGTGTGCAGGCTGCTTTTCAGACAAGAACTCTGTGAATGGCCTAGTTTATAAACAAGCTCTTTTAAGTTGGTTGTTAGAGTATTTAAGAGCAAAATATTGATGTCACTGGCCTATGTCCCCATAAAGGATTTCTTTAAAAATATCTGTATTCTCTGTGCCAACCTCTTAACAAGTGATCATGTTCAGCTTTCTTCAATACTAAAAATGAATTTCAATACATAACCTGCAAATTGATTAATTCTTTTTCTGCAGCTAATTTACTCTTGCTATGTAAATCAGTGATCATTTTCCAAACTTCAGATGGGCTACCAGCCATTTTAGAGTCCAGCGATAGCATTGCATAGTTCTCAAATCCTAGGAGGGTGGCTTTCTCTTGTCTGTTTTTTAATAAAAATATAAACTGAGAGATTCAGGCTCTATTCAAATTAATTAAGATGAAAACCTTCTGCATTATCTTTATCCATCATAAACTGATCTTCCACTTACTAGATATACCCACACTGTGCACAAGTAATTCATTTCAAGGGATTAATTATAGGAAGGTTTACAGCTGATCCTAGATTGTTAGTCCAGTAATCTAGGGGTAGATTCCCAGTGTTGCACAATGCATAGGATTTTCCACATGTAAAATGTGTGCAATGAAAACATGCGAAAGCTATTTCCATTGCTGCATAAAAATCAATACCACCCACCCACCCATTTGGGTCAGTTGAAGGCTCTTAACATTCTTCTGCATTCAAGTGATTGGAACATGCATAAAATGCATGTAAACATCTTGAAATTAAAATGGAGGTTGAAAGATGACAACGTTTATTCAGTGTATCCATTTATGCAAGCAAATGATCATTTAAACATGTAATTTTTCTTAAAAGGTGCTTTCAAGTACATGGACAAAAATGTGACAGTGGAATCCAGCTCAAGCCTGGATGGGCTGGGACCACCATGTAATAACTAGGACAAGAACTTTCACTTGAATCAACCATAAGAAGCTGGAAGCCATGGTTTGACCTCACTACACATGCTCTGTACCTTAATTTTCTTATCTCTTCAATAATATTTGAATTATCACTCTCTCCTTGTGAAGCTCTGGTTATATAAGCCATGTACAGTTGTTCTCGCAGACTTCTGTTTTGGCTGTTGGTGAAAAACAAACATTAGGTTGGCTGCTTACTGATACACATACAAGGATTTTTTTAATATCACTCAACAGAAAGAGGAAAAGAATAATAGAATATTGTGTTCAACTCCAACACAGATACTTTTGACATGCTGATCTTAACAGTGTGCAGGAGGCCTGTCTCATGTAAACATAGCTTATAGTCAAGCTAATTAATGAATTCTCTGTAGTTTAGAAGGGGAAGAGACTAAGATTTTATTTTCTGATTGAATCTTTTTGCTGAGTAACCTTTAAAAAAAAAATCAAACATATTGTCAAACAGCATGGCATCACACAAAAAAAACCTTATCTTGGGGCTGGCTGTCCTTACCTGTATTTCATGAATGGCTCAAAGCATGGCAAATCCAAACTGAGTTTCCAAGGTCCTGATTTGGGATCAATGTTTCTCCTGTTGACAAAAACAAGCAGAGCTAATGGCATACACTATGAGAGCACTTCACCAATAAACCTAACTTGAGGCAAACATAACCCAGAAGACATAATCATAAAAGTATTGTGGGAAAGTCACTGGTAAGTAGCACCTTTATTTATTAAATTTGACAAACTATATCCTGAAAATAACTACACAGATAAACCTGTGGTCTACTTAAGAGTGTTTATCATAGAATGATCAAACAAATAAAAGAAACATAAAGATGTATAGGGTATATCTAAGCTTTACAAAAGGCCTGATCTGAGAAGGAAACCCAATACAATCAACAAGTCTTACTTAAGCAGTTGGGAATCTGAATCTGTGTCAGAAGACAGATTCATTCCCACTGCAGTCTGTTGGGGTTAAGTATTAGAATCTATTGCAATTTGCTAACAGTTAGTAATTATTCACTTGTGTTTCCTTTGGATGTATGTTACATGTGTATGTAATATTTCTTTTGACTGTATAGTGTGAAAATTCTCAGATTAAGTAGAGGGTGGTGCTATGTGTGATCTTAGAAGGAAGGAGTTGAGCTGTAAAAAGCTTCTTTCATTATTTACAAATCAGTCACTATGTTTATCTAACTTGGACTCCGCTATGACTGGGCTCAGTGCCCATCAAAACTCTAGGGAGAAGTATATCATCATGTACCATAAATACTGGTGTATAACAAATCAGGGGTTTGGCCTATCTGCCACATAAATTAACATAAACAAAATAACCAGAACGTTTAAAGATATATAGAGGGATAGAAATTGATCATTGGTTTTGCAACTTTGGTTGACTTTAGAAGAGCTATCACAAGCATAAGCTTATATTTCTTGTCATTGAGTGGTGTACAATACCAGAGCAGGATCAAATGTAAGTATAGGTTGGCAGATATGACATTCTTACTGATATGGCTAAAATTATAGGTAAGGATTGAAAGCATTCTCTCAAAGCAACTTTCTCAAAACTCCATGTGTGATTTCTTCCCATTTCTTTTCAGAAGACTTTTTTTCAATTTTTGAGTTGCCAAACTAAAGATGTGGCTTATCTGAATGAAAAAGAAAGAGGGAAATCATACTTTATCCAAATAGTGTACAAAACCTCTCTGACAGAAACAATTATGCACCCAAAGACATCTACTAGACTAGTATAAACAAACTGCAATGGCTGTTGGACAACCACCATCTAAATGTTCACAAATGCACAAAAAAGAAATTGAACCTTGTTTCTTTGAGGTCTGTGTGATTTTCTGCAGCGGCTGCCTCTGCAGTCATCTGAAGAAGAGATTCAGGCAATCCTCTGACATCCTCTGGGTTTGTTAAAACTAATGAAAAGGCCTTTGTTGCATCCAATACATTGTTGCTGAAGAAGAAACAATATCATTGTGAGACCAACTGACCAAAACATTTCAAGATTGATTACATATATACTTTTATGCAGAGTGACAGCATCTTTATCATCTACTGCACCACTTTGAAACTGCCACACAACATCTGCCATTTCTCTGAACATTTTCATACAGACAAAATTCCATTACAACATGCCTATTTGTCAAGTTTTGTTAAACAACAAAATTTCAGCGGTATATGCTGAAACCAATTGGAACATCCAACCACCTCTTAAAAAAAATTGCATTTACACCAGACATGGCAGGATTAATTGAAAGTTTAATGTTTGAAAAACAAACATCCAAAAAGCCTGACATTGACAAAATTATCTATTACCAAAGAACAAAAAAAACCCACAAAACTACCAAAATGTATGATACTTGAGAAAAATGCAAGGGGCTCTTACATAAAGGTAATAAAACACTTTCAAAGGAAAAAAGACAGCTTCACAATATCTCTCTAAGATTGATAAGTTGGATCAAAAGTTTCTGAAGTATCAGAACACATTCATCACCCTCAAATGTACAAAGCAAACACTGCAACAAAACAACTACCAGATGTACTGTAAGGTCTCTTGTTGGTGCACAGCTATCTGATAGGGACACCTCACTGTTATAGCCAATTGTGTCCCTACCAGATTCTGATATAGCTCCTTCAGAAAAACTTAAAATATAATTTATATGGACATTCTGCTGTGTCCTTTTCTTGTCCATTTTAGAAAGGTTTATCTGTATTGATAAAAAAATCAGCTACACTTTGTAACTTTGTTTCGCCTACATTTCACCTGAATTTGTTTTTCAGTTCAGCAAGTCTCAACTGTATAGCATTAAATCTTTCTTTTTCTTTTCCTCTCAGGGCCACTCCCCCATTTCTGGCTGATCTCAAAAATGATTTCACCACTCTTTGCTGTCCTTCATCAAGACTCACACTAGACTCTTTAACTTTCTGATGGAGATTCTAATACAAAGAAGCATTTGAAAATGATATGTATTGTAGAAAGCAACATCTTCTGTTGCACTATCACAGTTATTCTTGGAGACTAAGCTCTACTAAATATGTAAATATGTTTAACCCTTTAAAGTACCCTAAGAGTGACCAGCATTTAGTTTCTCCTTACAATAATACTGCTGAATTATTCATTTAAGGTCATGAGAATTAAGGAAATGATCACCAACTAAAGAAGCTCTCGATTGTTCAACAAATTCTCCTTTTCAGCAGCACCTTCTTAGGAAATGTATAGATAACAATATAGAGAATATTCCTACTGATGTTAGGGTGTAAAGGGCTAACAAAAGTCTGCAACATTTGATATCATGATGACGACACTATATCCTATTTAGAAGTAAGTATACATGCTTAAGTGCATAGTTCAAGATAACAAGGTAACAACAACAACATTCTGGGATAAACTGGAGTATTCTTGAACTTCAATCTAGTGACCTCTTTTTAACCATTTAAATAACTTGAAAGAGAAAGTTAACAGCACTTGAAGGTTTGGACAAGTCCTTGTGACATGTCTGTGCACAAAAAAAACACTGCTCTATGTATATTGCTTCCAAAAAAATTACATGTCTGTGCACAAAAAAACCCTGCTCCATGTATATTGCTTCCAAAAAAATTATATGCATTTCATTTTCTTCCTATGATCATTAGTACCATTTTTATCTTTGTGAAGCTTTTGAACTGAAAAATAAGAGAGTTAAACTACCTGCCTCTTGTAGCCCAATAGAAGATCAAGCATCACTTACACTTTGGGAACAGGCTTTAAGTTGCTGAGGAGTTTACAAAGTCTAACTTGGAAAACTAGCTTACTATAGTTTCAACCACAAAAAAATCTTAGAATCTTTACAGTTTCTGGAACAACTGATTACTTGCCTGGTTTAATAGAAGACTTCCTCTCCTTCACTATGCAAGTCATAAATAATTGTTTCTTCTTACCTGGAGAGTATCATATACAGGGACACTCTGTGAGGCTTTCATAGAAGCTTGTACAACCAGTGGTTGCGCCTGTAAAACATTTTGGAAAAAAACGAAGGTAGCAATACTAATATTGCAGTAATGCATAAATCAATTCAAGGTTTCAACATCCCCCAGTGCATTGGAACTTTGGAAGATTGATTTGTTCCAATTTCCACCCCCTTGGGAAAGTATTAAATTCAAATGCTCCACCCAAGCACAATTTTTTTATTAAATAATTCTTTGTGTGATCACCAACTACAAGGTATCCAATATTACAATATCATTAATGACAGAAGTTCAAAGCAAAACAGCAAAAGTGTTAGCCATGCTAATATACCTTTTGATAAACATCTCTCAACTCTTGACTATTACAAACTCTGTTTAAATGTGATGTAACTCCCCAGGCATAACTAAGAGGATTGCCTATCTTCTCTAGTGGTTCAATTATAGTTGACCAGGGTTGATCAATCAGTGTGTCCTTTCCTCTGTATAGTTCTAAAAAAATAATTGGTTGTGAAACATTTATTATTCTAAATGATTCCACATGAAAGATACAAAGTAAAAGAAGCATTTGAAATTGCCATGACTACAAAAGAGGACTCAAGAAGTAGATGACTTTGCTCTTAACCATTTAACTTTCACAAATGACTACCACAGAATTTCTATTTACACTATCAATACTACATCAAGCAGACAAATACCAGATTCTCCGAACCAACATCATGAGAATTACATAGCAAACAGTAAGGAGAATTACTGATGAGATCTTGGGAGTGAAAGGGTTACTCATAACTTCCTCCCACCTTACGTAGGCCCCTTGAAGCCAACAAAATATTTCCTTTGTTTCCCACTTTTTACAGCACTTAAGCAGAATTTAAAACATATCTGACATCAGACAAAATAGTCATTTCTTGTGAAACCACTACTGGTCATCATCTCGAAAATGAACACAAAGTTTTGAAAAGAAGTACAATACATACATAATATTCTTTAGGCTGCAATATTCAAAGCACAGAAAAACTCTGACAACTTTGGTGTGAAACCTCTTTTTTAATATTAGAAAAAGCTCAAGTACTCAGCTGTGAATCTAACATATGTCAAAAAGATGAAAGATAAGGAAAAAGTAGCATTACAGCTTATTTTATAAAGAAGGATTTGCTCATCATGCAAGACTATGGAGATAGCACTTTTGGCAGCAAATTCAATTTCATAGGAAGTTTAGAATTTGCATATTTTTTGTCCTGTAAACAAGTTTTTATGGCGACTTTGATATGCAAGTGAGTCACTCACTCATTAAAATGTAGACACACTGTAATCAGTTGTCTCGAACTTGCCTAAGCCTGATACCATAATCTTGGAATAGTAATTGCATATAAACCATAGCCACACTTGTTACACTCTATATTTAGCATTGTTGCTTTAAATGCCACCTTTTGAGAGAACAAAAACTTATTTTAATTAGTAAAAACACAAGCTTCGATTGTTTATGATCTGATGCAAAACAATAACAATGAGAACAGTTTAATTTTATTGGCTGATTGATTAAATATAATTACTCTTATGCAAACATTGGCAGCTGAATTTATTAGTAACTCTTTAGCAGACAAAAATAATCCTGTGCTTTTCTGACCAAAAGAAGACTTGTGTAATTCATTCATATCTTTAATTCCAATCAGTGAAAAAGCCTTGCAATTACTTAAATACAATTTAAATTATATCCTTTCAGAGGAAGAAAAATTGAGGGGTTTGTTACCAGATGCATGTGGGAGAAAAGCCTTGAAAACAAAGATCTTTGTGTTACAAAGCAAATATTTATTGAGTCATTGTGAGGCAAAACCTGAAGTAGTAATGTAATTTGGCTTGTGTGGGCAAAGAGGTATTTGGAGCATCTAATTTTGCAGACGGAAATTTGATGAATGCAGAATATCAATTTGTACTATTTTTGTAGACTGCCTGAGGAATGTGTTTAACTATTTTGTGGAGTTGGATGGTAACCACTATTCTGGATTTCTTTGTGACTATGTGAAAGCTTTCAAGCACAGTCACAACATAAGGCAGAAAAATCCTCCAAACTTGAGTCACTTTAATCTTTACACTGCAAGTTTTTGTGCAAGACTACTAATTGCAAGTTCACAGAATATTTCATATCTAGATGATCAAGTTGGCCATAGGGATTCTTTAATCCTTTTTCAAAAGACCTTCCAATTTCAGACATGATAAAACTTATTCATAGGATCAGTTAAAATTTCTTGAGGACTGTTAGCCGTAGAAACATTGCGGGACGCAAAATTTCAAGGGATTCAACTGTAAAGTTTCACACAGGATCTACCAAATCAGCTTCTGCCCAACATTAAATAAGGTTTACCCTTCTCGACAAGAAAAAAAAAAGGATTTATTCATGAAATAATGTAAAAGAAACTTAAAAAGGAGTCTTGTTAAAAGCTGACCTTGTAATTTTGTTTCGAACTCGGTAAAGTCACTCTCGAAATCGTGAGTCAGTTTCTCGATGGCTGGCGCTACATGGGTAGTTTGAAATTCATTGAAGCGTGGTAAGCCTTCGTGGCTGAGAAGAGGATTGTAATCACTTGCAATGCAAATAGGACGCTTGAGAATCCTTATTTGCGTGAAGAGCGTAGACAGATGAAAGCATCGAAGCGGGTCTGTCCAAAGATTCCTAAACTTTGGCAACGCACCTACCAGAGCCGCCATTTTGTAATTCCGCTAACTTCAGAGAGCGTAGGCGCAACTCTGACTCCATTCTCATTCCCAAGCTCTCTCCTCTTTGCTTTTCATGTCATTTAGCATTTAGAGACCTTGACGAGTACGGGATGATGACACGAAAGTCCAAGAAAGGAAAGTGGATTTTTACATGTTTTGACTACTATATATGGGAAATGAGAGGAATTCCTTCCCTGGAAAGCCAAATGATGAAAGAAATTCTCTCAGTTCGCGAGATAAGTTGTAAATCCGCCGACAAGCTTATCAGATAAAAGAATATATTTTTTACTACCTTAGGATCGAAAGCTTCGCTTCGCTCAACACTGACGCGCCGCAAGAGTGATTTAACAGCCTGAAAATATTTGAGTAACAGTCAGAAAGAAAAATCAGACAAACTTTTTTTTCTTAACACTTTAAGCGAATTTTCTGCTCGGAACATCAACAGCAAGAAGATTTTGAGCGTCAATAACTACCACCCCCCCCCCTTTTTTTTTTTTTTTTTTTTTTTTTCCAATTTCGATTCGTGTCAATGGGTGAAAAAAATTCACGTTTGAAAAGAAAGTTTCTGGGAAGCATGCTCCCCTCCTAGTTAGCTCTTGCTCGCGCTTACGCCTTTACATTTCTTGTCTCGTTTATTCTTTAAGAATTTTTTTTCTTATATCTGTCTGCCTCTGTGATGTTAACACTTTTCATGAGAAGGCAAGGGCTCGGGGACTGGAAAACACTTTGTATGTGCTCCTGGCGCAAAGGTCTTCTAAGAAAGTCAGTTTAGCATGCTGACCGAGAGTAAGTTATTTGAAAAGGCGTTTGAGTATCTCATGTTTGCGAGATGCTTTTTATAAGATGGCACAATTCACCCCTAGTCTGATTTCATTCGCCAAACTCTTTGTATGAAAGAACAGTTCCATAGACACTTTTATTCGTTATTTACTGGAAGTTGTTGACAGAGAATTTATATATTCACATCGATCTACTTTTTTTTTTCACTTTCAGTAGATGATGACCTAAGTTCAACATCGACATTATTCAGGGTTTTTTTTTTTTTTGCTTTAATTTATGAAATATTTTACGCAATACTTCATAACCAATTTTTTGAAGAAATCGCGTCTCATTTCTATTATATTTATTACCATTACTTATATCATTGATATTATTACTACTTTACTTTAGTGAATCTTGAACGTGGACGATGTTTCTTGGAAGTCTTGAAAACTACGTGTGAGGACTGAATCGTTCCCATTTATCTCCCGCTTCTTGAATTTGAACATGAAATAAGAGAGACAAATTACACGAGTTAAGCTGGTCAGTGAGACCGCCAACTCAAAATTTGAATATAAACGGCTATTGTTGACTCCTGACATACAGTTGGCACTTGACATACAAAACGTGAGTACATGCAGCATTTTTGTTTCTTTTCATACTTTGATCTCTATTCAGTCATGCAAACTGCTTTCTTTATTTGATCAATGCTATTCATTTGAATCCGCATGATCATCTCACATGTAGCTGACGGTTGACATGACGTACTACTGCGTTAAGACGAACGTGACCCTCGACGAGTTCTAACTGTATTATGACTAGGGGTTGGGAGGCTGAATCGCTCTATATTTGTGATAAGCCAAATTTTCCTCTTAATGTGAGAAGTTGTCAAAATTTTAAAAGGGATTGTTTGTTGCTAACTTTTACTCAGGAATGAGTGCAAAAAATCTGAGTTGAAAATGCTGAAATACTGATTAAAATATGCTAAAACTCACAGAGAAAGACCCTACTCACCCCGTCCTCCCATCTGAAGAGAAAATCACGTTTTTCTGTCTACATTCAGTAATTACCTCCTGCAGGCATGGCCGGCTTTGACTTCACGTGTTTAAGGATGAACATTTTTTACGAGGTTATATGTTATTATGGTTGTAAACGATTAGGCGTATGGACCCCTAAAAATGCTGAATATTGTTACTATCCTTGAAAATGAAAGGTGGAGATCAAGATCCACATGTAAGTCAGGAAACAAACCCGAACCCTGTCAAGCGCACTAGCCGGAATTTAAGCGAAAAGAAGAGAAGAGATCGTTTCAACATTCTCGTCCAGGAACTTGCCGGGATTGTTTCTCCAGCAGATTGTCGGAAACTAGACAAAACAGCTGTGCTCGAGCTTGCTATTAACTTTTTACGGAAACATCAGTCAAAAGTACAGTCTCATCCACGAAATGGCAGTGGAAATGCGGCGAGTTGGCAGCCATCGTTTGCCACAGACACAGAGTTCAACTTGATTGTCACAGAAGCTTTAGACTCTTGTATATTTGCGGTCGAAAATAGCGGCAATATATTATATGCATCTGACAGTGTTTTGCCTCTGTTAGGACATCTTTCGTACGAACTAAGTGGAACGAGTTTATTTGGTTATGTTCACGAAGATGATACTTTGAGATTTTGGACGAAGCTTGCCTTTGTCTACAGTGGCACTGACGCAGAAGCAGCCGGCGGTAGTAACAATTTCTTTATTCGCTTTAAATGTGGACGTTTTTGTACGCAAAACACTTTTAAAACACTGGAATGTAAATTTGCATGCATTCGTCGGCAAAAAGAAAACGAAGCACCAACATGTGTTGTTATTCTTGGAAAGATCGAACAACCTCAACCGAACAGAATCGTCATGACGTCGGACTGTACTGAGAAGGAATTTTCGTATCGTCTAACTATGGATTGGAAGTATGTGTTCATCGATCACAGGGCGTCTTCTGTTATAGGATTTCTTCCGTTTGAGGTTCTGGGTACTTCTGTATATGAGTACTGTGGACCTGAAGATATCTTCAATATTTCTCAGTATCACAAGTTTCTTCTCCGTCTCGGGAAGGTTACCACTTGTTACTATCAACATAGGACAAAAGGACAGTCTTGGGTATGGTTGCGAAGCTCTTGTTATGTCTCTTACAATCAGTGGAACTCAAAACCGGAATCAATTGATTGCACAGCCACAGTTGTGAACTTTGACGAGGTTTGTTTGAATCAGACTGACACAATACGACGCGATAGAGAACACTTTAAAAGAATTCTCGAAAGACACGGGGATGATTCTGTCGGTTCCCTCAACCCTTGGCCGTCGTCTTGGCTTTACGGTAATGAAGAAGTTGAGCTACGTGATGGAGGCAATGAATGCGAGCAGAAAGACAAAAATGAATCGGGCTTCTCCTCACAATTTCTAACTCGATTTCTCAAATTACCTAGTGACAGATTGATGAATACTTTAGACAATCAAAGTATCGGCGATGTGGAAATGGAATCAGACGAAGAGCCAAATGAACACCTTGTTTGGCTTGAAAGTGTGAAAATTCCTCCTGGATTATCTAGTGTGCAAATTGCAATGCATATGAAACTTCAAGAGGAGTATAAGAAAATTGCCCAGCAAATTAGACAGCAGGAAAAACAATTGAAGACAATTAGGAAGCTTATTGAATGGAGCCGATTACTTTTGGAATTAGATAGGAGTTTTGGAACTTTTGAAGTAGAGGAGTCATCAGTAGACTCTGAAGATGTGTTGTCTGTTACTTAAAAGTCATGAATATATTTGGCTGAGTTAATTGTCACAAGGTCGGGACATTAGGACTGATGAGTCACTGCAGCAAACTGCTTCATGTGTTTCTTTCAAAGGAAGCTTTTCAGTATGTTTAAATTCATGGCAAAACATACTGAAAGGTTGCTGTGACCTTTCTCTGTGCTTTGTTGCTGTGTTGTGTTACTGTGTATTTTGTCAGAACTTGTCACCCACAGTGTTACAACCATAACATTTGGATTAACTTGTCATTGTTTGTAGGTCTGCCTACGAGAAACATTTTTAAAGTCTTGTATTATGATGATTTGCTCTTAAATTCTCACTTTTCTATTTGCCTACAGCCCAGATGGACAGGTTGAGTTTCAATTTAATGGCCTTTTTGATCATGTTACACACACCTCAGCTGAAGCTGTTGGTTTTCACTAGTTTAACCTTTTAATTTAAAACTTCAATGTGCATCTCTCTTCTAGCTGCCATATGTTTCCTTCTGAATAAGTTTAGAGAATTTGGTGTTTTATCAAGTTGTCATGCTCTAGCTGAAATGTATGATCATTCTCAGTGTATGTTTGCTCAGCTGGATGGTGTCTTAATATTATGGGAAGGGGGACTTTGTTGATGAATCACTTCTGAAAGTTAAAGGGATGACTGCTCACCCATCTTTCCTTCAAATTTTTTTCCAGTCTTGAAAGGATACTTTAAAATATAAGATGATACATCTTTAACTGAGTTGACTGGTTTTCTCTTTAGGCTTCAAGATTTGAAAAATTTAGTGGTTTACTGTATAATGCCATCAACCAAATCTGTTCTCATTTTGTATACTGTATTTCCTTGAAGAAGTGCACATGCACTTATTGAAAATTTCGGCTAAAAAAAGGGGTGCTTATTGCAAGGAGGACATTTAATCAAAGGAGGAGCATATTAAGTTTGCACAGCATTAGGACAAAAATTAAAGAACAGATAACACAAAGAGAGGAATTCTGCACGCTTTTTGAGGTGGAGATAATGGGAACAGAAAATTAACTCTTCTCCTGTACTGATTCAGCTCTAGTGGAAGCAAAAAAAGTAGTAAATAGGGTGGCATTAGAAACATGTTTTACTTCTATCCCTACTATTTGAGGGAGTGAGAGAGGTGGGGGGGGGGGGGGGGGGGGTGGAATTCCTTTTTTGAGAGGGGTGCTTGCCTGACATTTTGGCTAGGGGGGGTGGGAATTTATGTAGAGGAAGGGTGCTTATTATAGTGTGGGCACTCATTTGAGGAAATATGGTATTTAATTTTTTTTTTGTGACAGCCTTCATTTGGTTATGGCAGTGAAACAGAAGGCCTTATTTGTCCATGGCTACCCAGGGATGACAAGTTCTTAGTGGTTTCTGGAGGTTCACCCCATTCTATGTTTGCCCTGCCCCTCCCCTCTCCTACTAGTTTGCCTCTGACTAGTTCATCACTATCATGACAAGTTTGCCCCATCAAATACAACAAGCCTACTCCCTCCTTGGAATAAATCTTTTTGATGGGGGTTAACTGATAGGGGGCATACTTGTAATGGAACAAAACTTCTATAAATCAATTTGCCAATCACCTCCTAGGTAGCTACTCAGCAAGCATAACAAACCACTCTCCTCTTGTGTGGTTTATATGCCACTGAGATATATGAATTCAAAGACAGACCAATCAACTGCATTTTGGTACTAAAATTGATCCCTGAAATGCTCAAATGAGGTATACTGTTAAATGATAATTTACTTTATTGCATGGTCAAATTTGAAAACCTAATAAATGCACTCAAATTTAAATTTAAAGTCAGTGTGGGACGACTATCACAGATAATATTAGTTGTGAAACCTCTTTTAAAGGTTTAAAAATATCAAAATTCTCCAATCTCACATGTGTGCACATTTTTATAATTAATTTAAACATGACTTTGTAATATATGGTCTTGCAGTCAAGGAGATATTTGTTCTAAATCCTTAGAAACTAATAGTATTGTATAAACTACATATTGCTAAACCTCAGTTGTTCTCACTCCTTTGTGAGAAGAGTGCCTAGGAAAGACATGTTTAGAAAAAGAATGTTTAAAATTTTGATTCAAGGTGGATTCATGATGAAATGAAATTTGCCTGCATCTGCAGGAGACAGGAAACACTTTGTCATCTATGTAGACTCAAACCTGGGTAAGTGTGAAACATTAAATTTTGTTACAAAGTATGAAACTGTAGCCAAAACAAAGTTTTCCATCTAATCTTTCAGACTTCATTAGCCAAATGAGCTCCATGTTGTCACAAGTTTACACATCATGTCACTTAATCTGCTCAAATCTTTGCCCTTTGTGTAGTACTCTTGCATTTTTCTGAATGAACATACTTAGATAACCAAAAATATTTTAATCACAGTTACTTAAAAGGAAGTATTTAAAAACCATGGGTGTGTTATGTAAAACATGGTTGGATTTAATTCAGCCAAATAATCATATTTAAGCACTCTCAATAAATGACCCCATTTTGACAGTCCATTTTAGCTACAAGCATGGAAAGGGTTTTTAGTGCCATGAACTCAGGATTCTACATTAAAGTTCACCCTTGGGTTTACATTTTGAGTGACCGAGCCAGAATTTCTCCTTACAGTATCAATACAATATCAAGCAGACAAGTGGTGAGAATAAAGAAATATATAAATTTGGAGATAATTGGTAGATCCAATACTAAATTCTCTGAACTAACATTATGAGAATTGTATGGTTAACAGTAACAAGAATTACAAATTTGATCTGGGAGTTGAAGGGTTAACAGTATTATGAACTGCATTTTGTGGTATTGCTATTGATAATAATTCATATTTTACAGATGACTTTCTTTAGTATTCTCTGAAATTTCATCTTTAGTCAATTAAACCATAAACTTTATTTGTAAATATGTGACAATAAATACATTTTCAGTGAAAAAAAAACGTTTTTGAACACTTTTAGGGAAAGCTATTTTCTTCTGTAATATGATTCAGCTCTAACCTTAACAATAAAGATTAATGCGATGAAAAAAAATGTCTTAATATTTTTCCTTTATTGTTATCTGATCCAATATGCAAAAAGTGTTGTAACCATTAATGATTATGCTTTCATATCAAATGAGTTTTGCACTCATTAAATATATATATCTTACATTTGTTTACAGCAAAAGTAGCAATCATGAAGTCTAAGAAGGGCTGTTGTTGGTAGAAGTACCTTCCAGTTTGGCAACTTAGGCAGAAGTTATAATCACAGTCATATAAAGAGTTGTCAGACAGTTGAGTGCTTTAAGTGTGGTTGAGTAAACTGATTGGCCAGTTTACAATGATGTTCTGGGCTGCTAGACTTAAATAGCATGAATGCTCATACTTAGGGGAGGAGGGGTGGTGGGTTTTGTGGAACTTATTTGAGAGAAAACATTTCCTGACAGAGAAATACAGTGGGTTATGTAATTTGGTCATCACTTTTGGGACTTCAACAGAAATTCTGAATAGCACCAAAATGATTAAAATGAGTAATTTAAAGAGAGATACTGCCTTTCAAACTGAAATGCAATTTGGCAACAGTACAATATTGCAAACCAAAAAGGCCAAAACCCCAGCTTAGAGTAACAGAAACAAGTAAGACAACATTCAAACTAGATAATTACAACTCAGAAACACAACATTTTCATCCCCTGAAATGTTAATTACCAACATTTGACAAAATGTATTAACAGCTCAGTTGTTGAACATGCAATAAGACAGCTGGAATGATTTTTTTGTGGAACCATACTGGATTTAAATGTAATTTAATTAAAATTTAATTATCAAAATGAAGCATTACTTTGTGCATAATACTTCAACCACATATGGATTCAAATATGAACAAGGTCAAAGCATACTAATGGTGAATTCTGTTAAATGCTGGATAATTGAGTACATTCTTGCAGTTCTTTCATCTTTTGCTGAATAACAGATTTGATTTCATCCACTGTATTTTTGAGGTTCAGTGTCTTCCGTTTTTGTTGAACCTCTAGTTCATCACTGAGTGTAGATAATTCCTTTTGAATTGCCAGCTGTCTTTGTATGACAGCAATTTGCTCAGACTGCTGCCTTATGGAGTCTGTAAGACTCTTGTATTGGTCTCTCAGATGTAAGTGGAGCACCCATTGTGAAAATGACAAAGATTCTGGCATTTGATCATGATCTGCTAGCAATAAGCTCTTTTCATCAACATTTTCCATTGAGTAGACTAATGGGTCGCTTGAGTTAAAGTGGTTGTCATTTGATATGACAACTGCAGCACTGTCAACACCTCCAACAGGCCAAATGCCAGCATCAACATTCTGGGGTGCAGCCAAGTTCATGCCATGGTCTGAAGTTATGGAAAAACTGGATTGCATTGTTGACAATCCCAGTGGAAGTTCCTCACATGCTGTAACTGCATGGCTCTGTTCCAAAATTTCATTCTTATTCAGAATTGGATTTAGAGATGGTGAAGAAGAAGGTGGTGATGAAGCTGTTACTGCATTTTTTTGAGTGCCACTACAAAAATTTGAGCTGAGCAGTTTTTCACCACTCTTTTCAAGAATTTGAGAGAATAGTTGTCGATCCCTCTCCAGGATTTCCCGCTGGTTTAATGCACTGAATTCAGTGCCTTTCATGGGCCAAGTGACACAAATAACAGAATCTGGTTTTGAGTCCAGTGGACTATATGACACATGGCAGCGACTGCGTACCCAGATCCAAACTTGTCCTTTGGCGAGAAGACGATAACAACAAGTTGTTATTACCCCTGAATAAAGAAGCATATTGTGGTACTCTGTAAGATTGGCCAAATCATCTTCATGACAATATTCATACAAACACTGTCCAAGCAACTCAAAAGGATAGTAACCCAGAACCATGGTCGTACCTCTTTCCACACATTGAAACCTCCACATTTTATCCAATCTCGTTGTGAATTTCAAAACATGTTCATTATCAGCTAGCACAACAGTTTTATTCAATTTCGGTAAAGTTGTAACTCGCCCCAGAAACACAATAAAGCGATCCCCCCTTGTTTGATCAGTTCTAAAAGTCCTGCCAATACAACTAAAGGGTACGAACCCGCCTCTGAACTCTGCGCTTCGTGGAGCAAAACGAAGGCGACAGGAAAACATCTGTGCTGGTCTACTGATTGTATTATCCTTGTCAAAAGCTGTAAGCAGAGCATAAATCGTTCTTTGATCCTCTGGATGCACCAAGTCTAAAATGCTGCTGTTCTGAAGGGTTTTACAGTCGTAACCAAGGCAGGGGAACACGCTACTCGAAGCAAAACATATTTTGCTTGAATCATCGATCGCAATTACAATACCATCTAATCCATCAAGCATAGTTTGACGGAATTCTTCGCTCGTAATAAAATCCGGTTGCCAACTTCCACAAACCCTCTCAAGACTGTTGCTGCTTGATGTCGTGGCAAGCTGCTGAGTGTGGCGGAAGTATTCTATGCAATATTTCAGAACGTTGTTTCTGCTTAGTTTTTTCCCTCGCATAGGCAGAGAAGCAGATAGTTCATTCACCAGGTTGTTAAACCGATCTCTTCGCTTTTTTTCATTTTGATTCCTGACTAAGCAAGCTTTCTTAAAATCATCGAGACTTGAGCCTCCCGCTTCGTCCTCCGCCATCTTGGTTCAATTCAGCATATTTGGAATTGGCCAACCGCTTCGAACAACTTTATACGTTATGTAACCAGGACACGAGGCACTTTTTATACGAAACGGTCAACAGTAAAATAAGAATTATCTTTTACTTTTTCCTTTTAAATGTATTTTTAGGCGCAGCTGTTTAAATGCAAAAATTTTAGAAAATAGAAAAACAGAAAAACATGGGCTTCAGATGTGAATACTCAAGTAGTTGTCAAATTTAATCTCTGTGTTTAAAGTTTACTAGTACTAAGTGGTAAGTCATGCGAGGGAAAACACTTCATCAAGGCATGTGTGAGTTTAATGGAAATTATCAGAAAAAAATCACGTTTCATGAAAAAAGTAATCACGTATTGACGTGATAGCTGGTAGGCACCTTGTTCACATGTGAATAGCTCCTCTTCGCGTGTCCCATCTGCAGAACAACAGACAACGTCTGTGACTGTCACGCGAATGTGTAAAGTACACGTGAAATCGTGGTCACGTGTACGAACTTTCTGTAGAATTCCGCAGCGTCAAATAAACGACATGTTCAACCTTTTGTTAGCGGTTTTGCTGTGTGATCAAAATACACTTCAGTTCAGTTGTAAATGGATAAGAGAATGGTACAAGAAGAATTACTTCTCAAAAACCGACTTATTGCAGTGGAGTCAATGGACATAGAACTTACGCACACGCACACGCAACCTTCTCTCAGGTCGCCCCATCAGCCAGGACTTACCCAAATTTTTCGCGTGTTCTCTTTATTTCACATTTCGCTCGCAGATGATTTAAAGGCAAAGCAAACCGTGACGCTACAAGGGCCACATTTTAATGAAGAAAAATTTTCTTAGACTTTATTAGTGTCACTACGTGAAGGAAAAAAAACCTTGAATCAATTAATAAATTATTAATGTCATGAAGAAGGATCGATATGGTTGCCTTTACATCCAAACCAATCTTGAGCCCAGGGTCACTTTGCCTTTTTGTCAGCGGTATAGTCGTCTATTACAAGTACGTCATATATGGGGAATTATTACATATTATGTCTTATACTTTACATACATATAATGGGTATGTAGGTCATGTATGTGGACATATGATTGGTGGCCATACCGCTGACAAAGAGCGAAAATGATCCTTAGCTCGAGACTGTATTAATTCAGAGCTAGGCTCATGCAATAAAGCATGATAATTACTCGCTGTGAGAGGACTTAAACAGTGACGTTTCCGTCTTTCATAAAAATGTTTTGCTACGTATATACGTTCTTTCTTCTTGTAAGTTCGCAGAGACAAAAGGGCTACCCAACAAGATAAAACAGGGTAGTAGAACCATAACACATTTAAATGATACGACCAACTGGCCCTTTATCTTTTCAGGTGATGAAGTGACTGCAAACATTTCTTCATTTCAAAGAGTAAAAAACTTAGCTAGGGCACTATCAAGGGTACAAAGACCAAAAGTTCCAAAATTTGCGGGGGTGGTAAACCAAGTCTTATGTTGGAGGGGGCTATGATTTTATACCTTCAATGTGCAGATCTTTTAATGACCTTTTTGTTGTGAGAATTTCAGAAAAAAAGTAAATATTGAACATGTAATGGCAACTTGTGCCATATGGCGCTCTCGCGCATTAAAGGGTTAAACATTTTAGGTGTAGCAGTTGAGGGCGTATGTCGAAGAGGACACGGCTTAGCTATTTCGACCGTGATGATATTGATATGCTTCACAGAAATGACAGGGTGACCCCGTTCCCGAAAATTGCCCTTCATGCAATTTGAAGTGAAAATAAGTAGATCCGTGTGTATCCGTAAATATTTGTATGTCACTCGTATGTAATTGCATGCACTCGTATGTATGCGTATGTCATTCGTATGTCACTCGGGTTTACGGTCAAGTCGAAAAAAATGATTTCCATATATTTTCAGTCATTTATTCATCACTCCATGGGTTCGTTTGCAACCAACATAATAATCAGCTCCCACTGAGTTGGCTTGTTAACTCAGATGGTGGAGCGCTGCACCGGTATCGTAGAGGTTATGGGTTCAAATCCCGTACAGTCCTAAATCAATCCTAAATTTTTTTCAGGCCTAATTTAATTACTGCTTAAGTTAACTAGTGTTCATTACTGCGAGGATCGCTTCCATATTCGGACTACTATTGTTGAAAAAGTCACAAGTATGTAAAGTAGACTGATTTCTTGAAAATATCACATTTACCGTTACGTAATGCACAAAGTTATTTGTTATTGTCAAGAAGTTCACCTAAAGATACAACATAGCTTTATATGATTTGGTTTAGTTTTTTTTTAATTTTTTATTGTTAAGAAAGTCACAAATAGACACAAAAGAACTTTATTCGTATGTTACTCGCTCGACTTTTAACTAACTTGTCGTACGCGGCAATCGATATCTGTTCACCGGGGTTGGGAACGAACTGATTCACAGTGGGTACGAATAGACAGAGCATACACGAAACATATTTCAATTCTGATCATATGATCAATCTGTGTGTATTCAAGAAACCAACGCCGCTTTAGTTGTAAAGTTTCCCAAGTTAACGAAACGTCCATGAGAACGAAACGAGTGAATACTAAACAGAGAGTGCAACACTGTATTTTGTTGTTATGTACAACGCTTTTAGAATCGTTATTCAAACATATTTCAATTCTGATATATGATTGATTTCTGTGTAGTCAAAGTCTTTATGGTGTTGTTCGAAACTAACAACGCTTTAGTGATGAAGTTTCTCAAGTTTACGCAACGTCCGTGGTCCAAAACTAGTGAATAACAAAAAGACAGTGGAATGCTGCGTTTTGTTTCTATGGGAAGGAACAACGCTTTCAGGGTCGTTACTCAGTCATATTTCAATACTGACCATATGATCGATTACTGTGTAGTCAAAGTCTTCATGGTGTTGTTAAAAACCAAAACCGCTTGAGTGATAAAGTTTTTCAAGTTTACGAAACGTCCGTGAATCCGACATGAGTACATACCAGACGAACAACGCTTCACTGATTTTGTTGTTAGATATGAACAACGCTTTTAGAGTCGTCATACGAACAAATTTATATTCTGATCGTCATCTTTATGAATGGCTTTGTCGTAAACAAACTTTATAGCCTATTTACAGTCTGTAAGTCTGATCTTTTTTAAGTAATTGTTTCTTCGCGCGACTTAACTTTTTATACAGGACGACATGACTAAAAATTTCGGGCGACATGACTTCGGGTGAGATGACTTTCGGGCGACCTTGACTGGTTTCCGTCACCCGGAGTACTCGTGTGGTGTTTCGATCACGATCGACATAAAGAAGTAACTTGAAACAAATAATTACGTGTTAATCTATACCTAAATGAACAAAACATAATTGGATGTTAGAGATTCATAACTGAAATCTGAAATTATGATATTATGATATCACAGAGTTACCTAATACAAAATTTACTGCAACGTATCAATCTCTTGATCTCATTTCCGAGTTGTCATTGAACTGGACACTATACTGGAAACAGTACACATACTTAAATGGTTAACCGGTCAAGTTGCTCCAAAGTCACCACGTCCGAAGTCATGTCGCCCTAAATTCTTTCTGAAGAAACAATTACTCATAAGATCAGACTTACAGACTGTAAATAGGAAATAAAGTTGAGAAATCTTTATCAATTCATACGGTGTTCGTTTTCGACACACACCACGAAGACTCTAAAACTACAGTCAACACTCTTGTAAGTGGACACCCTCGGGAATTGGATGAAGAGTCCGTAACTGAGAACTATAGGTCTGCCTCCGGGAATTATTCCTATAAGCGGACTCCCAAGAAAAGAAGGGTGGATGTCCGCTTTTGGAATTGTTATATCGGACTCTTGTTAATAGCAGACGAACGGACAGCTTGCTTTCCCCCGAATGAAAATTTGATAAAACCAATCCCCACTGTTTTGTTGCTCTGTCAAAGGTCATATTTTTGTTGATTTGCAAATTCAAGAAAAATTGTATATTATGCATGGGGTGTCCGCTAACGAGAGAGCGTAAAAAAGAGAAAAATCAAAATTTTACCTTAAAAAAACCGGAAACCCCGACGGCAAATAGTTGCTTTTGGAGCTCAACGCTGCTCACATACGACGGTCCAAAATAGACTAAACCTAAGTTGCTCTGGTTCACTGCCTTATTTAGTTCAATAGAGAACGAGATTATAGCTTTGCAATATTGATGATGTATTCTAATTATGTAGAAAGGAAAAAACTTGCTCAAAGCAAACTATGCCGGCTTTAAAAAAAACTGTTGTTTCTGGGTGTGTTTATGGGCAGACTTTATGAGTGAGACACAAAAAACTTCACCTACGGTGGATTGAGCTGAGTTGTCACTCTTTTCCTGAAGTTTTAGGTTATGGTTAATAGTTAATTTTTAATGAGATGTTGACAGTGTCGATGACACGAAAAACACGCTGTCGCTGGCCTTGTCATTGTTAATGCGGGATCCACTGTGAATGGCTAAAGCTGTAGTGGTCTCCCTGCCTGAGATAATTAGGCGAAGCTAAATAAATCACGTAACATCCGCAGTAAACCGTAGGAATTTCGTGTACATTTACGCGTGGTTTTCGGAAATCATTAGGCCCGTTTAAAGCAAATAAATACTTTTTAATGTCTCTGAGGTCGTGTGAATCTCGAGTTATATTATGATCCCGCTTATACTCCTTTTATCCCCATCCCACCTTTACCCGTCCTATCCCGCATTCGAAATGGAGCATATACCGGTCCCGCCTTCCTATTTTCATCCCGCATCTCGCCCTTAAGTTTTCTCGTATCCCACATCCCGCCAAACCTATGTTAGACCCTCGCATACCATATGCTGAAGTTAAGGTGTGGCTACGTAAGAGACGGTAAACACATCCAGCCATTCGCAAAATTCTAACTCAAAATATACATTCATTTTAAAATCGACCTCTTCGTTGGCGTCGCTGCTCTGACTGTTTAATTCTGTTTTTGAAAAAGGTTGTTTAGGTACTCATTCTAATCA